TAATCACTATCAGCTTCATGATGAGAAGATACTAACTGTTAACAGCCAAAAGCAGAAGTCTGACTCTTAAGCCAGGCCCCCTGTCTTCAAATCCCAATTCTGCCACCTGCTTTCTGAATGGTGTTGGTGAACTAGAAGCCTCAGCTTCCTCACCTGTAAAGTGAGGACAACATCCCACTTACCTCATGAGGTTATTATGAAGATTAAATGAATAATATATGCTTAGCACAGTGTGAGTATAGTAAAAATGTCACTATTATATGCTTTGCTTTGGCTAGTTTCTTGCACAGTGTATTAGGTATGTGTAAAAAAATTATATATGGAATGTATCTGGTGAAATAATTTTTATATATTAAATGCAACCAGAGTAGCTTGCTAGTTTAAAAAAAAAAAAAACCTTGCAGAAGTTCTTTTAGTGTATGAATCTCCATACTTGTGTGTAACCTCTTTCTGTACACGTGAACTTCCTTAAAGCTGGCTATTTTTTTTTAATTTAAGATTTATTTATTTACGCATACAGAACTGGGGTACAGGCTAGAGGTGCAGGGGCGGTGAGAGGACTCACCAGAGACAGAACTGGGAGCAGAACAGGCAGACTGATGAAACACACTGCTGAGGGGAGAGTGGGCGGGTCAGGAGAGGTCTGCTGCGCCATGTGGGTCACCTCTGGGGCGGGGATTAAACTCATGTTGAAGTGACTTTAGCTTCTTAGTGCTGTGCTTTAACCCACTGTGCCAACAGGGAGAGCCCATTTGTGGTTTATTTTAAATGATTACTTTGTGTTATTATCAAACTTTACTATTAAGAATGCTCACTTGGGAAACTTTTTAAGGTAAAGATTCCCAGCCCTAGTGTAACAGATTCTATTTACCTGGCCTGACGTAGTGTCCAGAAATCTGCATTTTTAACCTTCTCACACCCACTCCAACTCTGACATGGGTGACCCACAAAACCATTTTTAGAAACACTGGCTTTTATGTAGTAACATGGTTGACAGTGATGCTCCATCACCTAAACATAACTCGGAGGGAAGTTACACTTCTCTCTGTGGGTTTATGACTGCCCGACACAAAGAGTACATAAACCTCACTCATTCACAAAGTGACCTCTTTAAATATTGCCTACTAATGCAACATGACTTTAAATGGATCCTTTCTAGATGGGAATGATAGTTTAATATAGACACATCAACATATCCCGAGTCCGACAAGATAAGCACTCTGAAAATTAAACTGACTGAATCAGCAATAATGGCAGCTTTTCTGGCAAGAAAGTGACCATGGCTGACAGAGCTGGCAGGCTGGCAGGCTGCTGGCTAGCGTCCAGGCTCCCACACACATCTATCCTTGTCTAATGTGTAAGCTAATAGCATTTTGGATCTATATCCTGCCCACTCCCCAGTCAGCTACTCTCTCCCCTCCCTCCAGCAACATCTTTTAACAAGAAACTGTAATTGAATCTGCCCATGTGTGGCTGAACAAGAGCCTTCTGTGATCCCGCTGTGTTTAAAACTTTCACGGCTGTTACGTTGCTAGTGCCAGGAATGAAACTTAAATACTCAATAGATACATGAAAAGTGTTCAAAGACACTTCTGCATCATCACTGGAGAATAACAGTGAGTATATGTTGGATGCAACCAAGTAAATGCATGAAATTTCTAATTAAGCTTTTCTATAATAAAGTGAGATACAGTAAATCTTCATTTATCACCGACAGAAGTCAATTGCAGTGAAGAAAAACAACCACACACACATTCTCAATTACAGTGACCTTTATGAAAAGATCCTTTTAAATATTAGCTTCCCTTCAAACACTTTCCCACTTGGCAGTAAACATAGACTCTAGCAGGTGAGCACAGGAGAAATAGCACTGCAATCTGGCTAACAAATTACATGCCACAGCACCATGCTCAGGACCATGAACTTAGTATGCAGTAAATGTAAGGTGACAAAACTGGGTGGAAAAGAAAATGAGAGCCTTAAAAAGGTGCATATTAAAAGAGCAAAGTTCTCTGAAAGGTCCATTAAGACTAGGAATGAAAAGAAATAAAGTCTAGTGTTAACTGTAATCATTATTGATTGTACACCTATAAATTCCAGTCTCTTGTGGTTTTAAAATTAAGAACAAAGAGGGCCTCCCTGGTGGCACAGCAGGCTAAAGCACAGCACTAAGAAGCTAAAGCCACTTCAGCATGAATTCGATTCCCCCACCCAGGAGGTGACCCATATGGTGGGGCAGATATCTCCTGACCCGCCCATTGCTCCCCTCAGCAGTGTGTTTCGTCAGTTGGCCTATTCTGCTCCCAGTTCTGTCTCTGGTGAGTCCTCTCACTGCCCCTGCACCTCTGGTCTGTACCCCAGTTCTGTATTCATAAATAAAATAAATTTTTTAAAAATATTATGAACAAAGATATGTGCAGAAATATAGCTGTGTGCATATGCGGAAGTTACTACCTACACATATTTCTGAGTTTTATCAGCTGGGAGGACCTAGAAGCAATGACATATTAGTAGCAATGAGCACATCTAGCATCAAGCTCTTGTTTTCTAAACATCATTCTCTAAGAAATGGAACCTGAAATTGATCCTGGAACTGGGGCAAGAAAAACAAAGACGAGCTTGGAATTTCTTGTTTTCTGAGAAGGTAAGAAACTACTTGTAAAAATACAGAAACTTGGCCTTTGAGAAAATAAATACAATAGACAATCTCTAGCTAGACTTACGCAGGAAAAAGAAAACGCTAAAAAACAGAATCAGAAATGAAAAGGGGAAAGTTACTCTAGACACCTCAGAACTACAGAAGTGTGTAAGACACCACGATGAATGTCTTTACAGCAGCGAACTGTAAAATCTGGAAGAAATGGTAAAATTCTCAAAGATTGAGAATCTTCTTCTAAGACTGAAGTAGCAGAAAATAGAAAACCTGAACAGGTCAATTACAAGGAAATTAAAACAGTAATCAAAAGCACACTTTAAAAAAAAGCACAGACCAGATGGTTCTACTAGTTATTTCTGAGAAATCATCTCAAATGTCTATCCTTCTCAAACTTTTCAAAAAATTGAGGGAGAGGGAGTATTCCCAACACATTTCATGAGGCCAGTATTACTCTGGTATGAAAAATAATACAAAGATAGTGCAATATATGGAAATCAACCAATGTAATTCACCATACTGACAAAAGGAAAGGCAAAAATCAAAAAAATATATCAATAAATGAAGAGAAAGCATTTGACAAGATTCAGCATCCATTTATGATAAAAACTCTTAATAAAGTGGGGATAAAAAGAACTTATCTGAGTATAATAAAGGTGATGTGTAACAAACCTTCAGTGTGCACCATACTGAATGGTGAGAAGCTAAAAACTTTTCCTTTAAGATCAGGTATATCAGGATACCCACCCTCACTTTTACAGTTTAAGATTAGTAATACTATAAACCTAGGTAGAGCAATGGGCAAGAGAAATATCTAAAAAGAATCCAAATTGGAAAAGAAGTAAAAGTATCACTATTTGCAGATGACATGACTGATATTATATATATGGACCCCACTAAAAATGTTAAAAACAATTAATCAGTATAGTAATGTGGCAAAGTAGAAAATCAATATACATAACTCTGTTGCATTTTTATATGAAAATAATGAACTAAAATCATTGTTAGAAACCAAGAAAAACAATCCCATTAACAGCCGCATCAAAAAGTGTTAAATTGTTAAATACCTAGGAATAAATCTAACTAATGACATAGGAGACCTATACAAAGAAAACTACTTGCTAAAAGAAATAGAAGGAGGCACAAGAAAATGGAAAAATAGTCCATGCTCATGGATTGGAAGAATTAACATTCTTAAAATATCTATCTTACCCAATCAACATTTCAGTGGTATCCTTCAAAAAAATAGAGCAAATATTACTAAAATTTACATGAAACCATAAAAGATCCCAAAGAGCCAAAGCAATTTTAACCAAAAAAAAGGGGGGGGGAAATAAGAGAACAAAGAAAGGATATAAGTAGGAAAACTGGGGGAAAATGAGGTCTGTAGCTTGATATATAGTAATGCACTGATGTCAAATTTGTGGTTTGGCTAACTAATTCTACTACAGTTCTATAAGGTGTTAGTTAACAGTTGGGGGAGTTGGGTGAAGAGTATCATGAATGCTGTATTACTGCAATTTTCTGTAAGTTCAGCAGTTTAAATGTAAAACCCAATGATTATGACAGTAGAGTACAATAGTAAAATCTTCCTTAGTGTAAATGTAGATGGTTTAGTGGCTTTCAGGATCACCATGAATTCACCCATGTTAAGATAAAAAAAATCTGAAGAGTCAGTGTTATTGGCATACACGTCACTACAAATAAAAGTTGACCCTTAAAAATGGACCAACAGGCCCTCCCTGGTGGCGCAAAGGGTTAAAGCACAGCACTGAGAAGCTAAAGCCGCTTCCGCATGAGTTCGATTCCCGCCTGCCCCGGAGGTGACCACATGGCGCAGCAGACCTCTCCTGACCCGCCCGCTGCTCCCCTCAGCAGTGTACTTCGTCGATCTGCCTGTTCTGCTCCCAGCTCTGTCTCTGGTGAAGCCTCTAACCCTCTGCATCTCTGGCCTCTACCCCAGTTCTGTATGAATAAATAAATAAATCTTTTTTAAAAAGGACCAACAAACTGCTTCCTTCATGTGCTTGCAATCCTCCTCAATTCACTTAGGCAGAGATCGTCTTTTTAATCCAGTAGATAGACTTCACATAATGGGTTTACACTAAGCTATCACTGATGAGGTTGCCTCATTTAGGAATTCACTGAGAGTCTTTGAAAACAAGTTTAGAGTATTAAGACACAAATGCCTAAGCTTCCAGACTTTTAGTACCTGGCCAGTTTTTCATGCTCAAGAATAAAATAAGAAATGAGATGGAGATGTTAGAATCCTAAAACAGCCATTGTTATGGTTTCCTCAATTCCTTAACCATGGTAATTTTTCTATTTTAAAACGCTATTTCCTTACTTGGAATACGCTGGAGAAACCCAATATGGGTTGTCTTCGGCTGCTTTGGCATGCCGCAAAATGGCTTCGCGGGGATTGCTGTCATCGGTTTTGTCCAGAGCAATGTTCTTCACAATATATGACGACAGAGTGCCCCCATGGGTGCCAACCCGTCCACCACGTCCTGTTTCAAAGGGAAACAAAGCAGAAATGGAGTGAGCATAACCAAGATAGCCAGGTCTTCGTACACAGTGTTTGTTTTGAGAAGCTCGAGAATGCCTTCGCATGGGCGTCCTAAGTAACTGGCTACATGAATGAGAGTGGGGCTACAGCTTCACTATGTTTTTGTCATTCCCTAAAGAATCAAGGTTTTTGGGCCCTCCCTGGTGGCACAACTGGTTAAGTGCAGCACTATGCTTTAGTATGAGATCGATCCCCACCCCTAAGGTAACCCACATGGCGAGGCAGACCTCTCCTGACCTGCGGGCTGCTCCCCTCAGCAGTGTACTTCATCGATCTGCCTGTTCTGCTCCCCACTCTGTCTCTGGTGAATCCTCTTACCGCCCCTATACCTCTGATCTATACACCAGTTCTGTATGTGTAAATAAATACATCTTTAAAAAAAAAAATCAAGGTTTTGAGAATCTTGGGGTTTCTTCAGCCATTGCTTTCAAGCATGTATGATAACCATTAAGTAGTACATCACCAAGCCTCAAATTTTCCATACAGTTTTTAAATAGAAGGAGACTTTTTTTGGTTATGTATTTATTTGGTCCTCAATTTACATGATACCAATGTAGGAAAAATTACAAATAGTATGTTATGTGTCAGCCTTTAAACAAATTCCTCAGGCATGATCATTTGAAATTCAATTAATAAAAATAACAAATATTCGTGAGATGCTACTTTACTTTTAAACAAATATTATCTTAGGGCTTGCTGTCGAGAGAAGACAAATAGACAGGAAACTATTAGGGGCAGGAAGCTGGATCCCACTGGATCCTCACCAGCATGCCTGGTGCCTAGTACTCAAAAATGTATGACTTCAACAAGATTAAAAAACATGAAATGACACTAAAACATAACTATGTTAGTCAAGGTATGAAAAAAGTAAATACGGCAGTTAATGATCAGTTGCCAAGAATTTTATGTGGTCACTACCACAGCACTTTGAAGGAGAAACTTCCTCAGGCTTAGATGACCAAAGGGGGCTTTCTAGAGATGATGGGTCCAATTTGGAGAAGTTCAGAAAAAACAGGTTATCTTCAATGAATGAGCAGAACAGTTTAAGTGAAAAAGTACAAAAAGAGGAAATTATAATGGGTAGAATTATAATGGGGCAGGGGTGAACCAAAAGTCCTAACAGAAAATCAGTGGGTAAGAAGTAAGATGGAAAGCTGGAAAATGGATGCATCTGACTATAAAGAACCTGAATCTCCAGAAATGCAACTGGAATGTTGAGAGCTTATGAGGACTGGGGCAGCAGCAACATGAAATCTAGAGGAGCTCTGAATAAAAGCTGTACTGAAGATGGGTGGAGGCAAAGCAGGAAGAAGAGCAAATGGTTAGAGATCGGGTGTTTACAAGGAAGGATTTTCAATAATCCAGGCAAAAATGTTTACTGATTAGGACGGCAGCAGAAAAATTGAGGTAGATTTGTAAACTATCTTCAGTACTGAAGGAGCAAATCAAGTAGAAATAGCTACAGAACTCAGGTCCAGATACGTGAACAAGTCAAGAGTTATAGGCTTGAGAGTTTAGGGCAAAGGGAAACTAGACGGGTGATGACTGAGAACAGGACATTAGTAAAGATGGAAGGTGGAGGACAGTCAATGCTTCCTCCTGTGCGGACTTTCTTAAAAACCAGAAACTTTTATTTTTCACCTAGGAAAATGGACAGCTCTGTTTTATCAGCACAGATCTAAATGGTGGCCAATTTGTGTATGCTAATCCAGCCTGGATTCTGGTCACAGTGCCCAATATTGTTTGTATTAAGCTACATTTGAAGACAGTGGTTTTAACAATGGGTTCCCTGGGGGCCCCAGGGTTCCACTGAGGTCACTTAAAGGGCTCAAGTTAGAGACAAGTGGAAAGAACTCCAGGTTACTTTACTTTAGTAGAGAACAGCTCCATTTTTATCAGTTTTATACACTGGGATTCTATAGATCATTAAGAAAAAAGAAAAAAGTTTTGATATTTAAAATATTTGAAAGCCACTATTTAGTAAAGTCTCTCTAAAGACAAAGAAGCATCCAGGCTCAAAGGACCCCCCCAGTTCTTTTTCAATCATCCCCCCACCCCCACCCCGGTCATCCATCTCCCACTGCAGGAGTCACTAGCTTGGTCACAGTCACCTGGGCCTGCTACTGGAGGTTCAGGTTTGTGAGACTTCAGGGGATCCAGTCTGTCCTTCTCCAGCTGTTTCCTTGTGCTTCGTTGGCGGGGCTCACGGAACATAGGCAAGGCATGAGCTACAAGAAGTCACATTTGAAAAATTTCATTATAATAATAACCCTTCCATCCAAAAACATAGCTAAGGCATGACTAACTAAAAGATGAAATGGAAATCATAATGACAGCCTTCATCTAATAATGAAAGACAGTCTTACTGTAACCAATTAACCAATGTTGCTGAGACCAGACTCATTGTTCACCTCTCCTGGCAACTAACGGCACTCAGGAAATACTGTCACATGCTATCACGGCAATGCTGGTAAGGTGCCCTAGCTTCCAAACCCTGGGTAGCAGTTAAACTTAATTTCTACGGTTTTGAAAAGAAACACTTCATGGGGCTGCATCGTATTTTTCCTTACTGGACCCAAATGTCCATAATGTCTGTCAGCCCTGAAGTTCCCTCAAGATGCCTCATAAACACTGGAATCACTTCACACATTTATGAAATGTGACCACCTCTCAGGAGGAGTCGGCAACGCTGACGCCGGAAGGGAGGAGCACTTAGCCCACTGAAACTGGGATAAAGGTTGCCCTGCAGGCAGGGGGTGCCTGAACCTGCTGGAATGGTGACAAGGTGGGGACCATGTCCCCACTTCTCTGTAGTTGGTGGACAAAACAAAAGAACAAAAAGCAAAATAATGTTTCTCCAATTCCTGTTGGTTGTTTATTCAAAGTCAGCATTAAATTTCAGAATATAAATTTAAAATACAAATATGGATTTAAAAGGGAAATCATGCAACATAGTTTATCGGAGAAGATTACTGGGGGAAGATTTACCTATTAACTATTCCGGTCCCAAAAAAGGACCGGAATAATTCTTTGGATCCTTACATATGGACTAACACCTTCTTTAAAAGAGCAAACTTTTTCCAGCAGACTAGGGAGGGAGGGAAATGGGGTAGTGTGGACCCAGAGCGAATTTACAATATGAAGAAGACAGACTCCTTCTCTACTCCTGCTGCCACCAGGGCCAGAACTGTATCACCTGCCCGTAAAACACTGCTGCCTTGAGTCAGGGGAGCTGAGAAACACAGCTACCCGTGATTCTGCTGGGCAACGATGACAGGACAGTATTTTTAGGAGGGGGAAAATAGCTTTTCACTTCAAACAACTAGAGGAATTTAAGTAGGCCGCGTGTAATTACATGAGCTAGACTGGTTGTGACACTGACTTTAACACTTCAACTCTTGCAAAAAGTGTTATGGGATCTCTTTACAGATCATGAGCTCCTAGAGACTCCACCTCATAGGAGACCCACCACTAGGAGAAATCCTGGCGGCCTAGCGCCCCCTGGACTTAAGAATGAGACACCAGAAAATTCCCACCACCAGTTCACCCATGAACCATCACCAGAGTCCCTTGTGCTCTTCTCTCCCCTGTTCTGATCCCTTTTCTTCCCCTCCCTTGCAGAATGTCTCTTATTTATGGTTGCTGCTAGGTTTGTTGTTTTACTACTACTACTATTATTATTATTGTGATTGTTATTTTTTTCTCCTGATGCCTAATTTGGTTCCCCTGTATTCCTCCTATCAGTGAAACGATTCGATATTTTTTCTTTTTCCTTCTGGCTGATTTCACTGAGCATGATGATCCCTTGTGAGAATTTTATAGGGAATATACAATGATGTAAAGGATATAAAGAAAAAAATTATGAATTAAAAAAAAAAAAAAAAGAATGAGACACCAGTGAAGTCTCCTGCTAAGGACACCTGCTAGTGACAACGGCCATGGCAGCCAAGACTTCCTTCCTGGCCACTACCTGTATGTAGCAGGTCTGAAACAGTGGCTCCACGTTCATGTGGCTGTGTGACAAGCCCGCAGGAAGCCACTGTCCTGGTAGCTGCTGCTTATACCCCAGGCAGTTAATTTCTGACCTGTATATGTTTGGTTCAGCCTGCCAGTTGGTTGCAGGATTTCAAGAGGAGCTGGGTAAGGCCCTTCACCTAGTCTCCTCACTCTCCTGATAAATGTACTTGTTCAACATTACACGGCCAGACAGGGCGTGTGTGGGACAAATCCGGGTCTCGGGATTCCAAGCCCAGCAGTCTGTCTTGTTTATTCTTAGAACTGTTTGTTATTCCTTAAAGAGCTGCTATGGAGCAGAGCACGAGGCTCAGAATGCCTTTTCCCTTTTGGGTTGAAAGTTACATGAAATAATCCTGTCTCTGTGATGAGTCACAGAAGCTGACGGGGTTAGCTGCTACACGCTTTGCAGTCCTGGCCATGTGAAAAATGGGACATTCTGTAAGATACCCTGAGCATGGAGCGCTTCTCTGTCTCTGAAGCCTGAGATCAACACACCTGAAGGCAGATGAGGGTTGTGGGGTGGAGCATGGTGCTAAGAACTTACGGGTGATGATGTAGTCCTGGGTGAGAGTCTCGGCTTGCTTTGCCTTCCGCTGGGTTTTAACCACGCATAATTTTGCTCCCCTGAGAAGGTTAAGAGCAAATTATTTTCTTTACTTGGTCTTAGAAACAGAAAGTCTCTGTGAAGAGCATTAGATACTTTCAGGAATAAACTCTGTGTGCACCATCTGGCCAAGCTCTTGACTTTCTAAGGAACAGCAATACATGCAGCCCTTGGTGATAAGGGATTAAACTTATGGGAAAGCAAGTCTGCCAGAAAGTGTTACTACAGCGGTCACTGGGCAACAGAACTCTAGTCGGGGGGGAAAAAAATCTATAGAAGTAACCTCAAGTCTTAAGAACTTAAAGAGGTATTAATAATAATTAACCAACCTTTTTACCCTAAAGTTCACGGGGTTCAAATTTTAGTTTATGTCCTAGATGAAAGCAATCTGGGTGGTCTGCAGCCCAAATGGCATTTGTCTACATCTCAGATCCAAAAGTGCAAGTCTGGAACTGAGTCATCTTGGCACTGCTGCCAAGGGGCTACCGCCCAAGAATGTGAGGGATCGTGCAAAAGTGTGCCGGGAACACGGCACCACTCCTCGGCCCTAGGAGCCCCCTTCAGGAGCAGCAAATACAAATAAGCACATTTCTTAATGATTCCAGAGACAGTGTCTTCTAAATGGGTGCTGGCAAATGGAGTTCATTATTTTCTAAAGCAAAAGAGGCTCCTTCTCATCCTGATTACATTAGCATTTTCAATTTCTTTGTTGAAAAAAGCAAACAAAATCCTAGTCGCTCTTAAATACCATCGCATATAACTTTATTTAATAGGGCAATGGTTCCAGTCCTATTCCAGCAATTTCTACAGAACAACAGGACTGTCTGCTTGTATCTGGGATCAAATTATAATCAATGAATATGCATTAGGAGAGGGTAGGTTTCTTTTCTCCAAAAAGGATATGGGACTTCAAAACAAAAAGATTTTGTGGCAGGTTTCTGCGGGTCCATAGTGAATTTTGCATCTGAATTTTAATACTTAGCCAACCAGGGGCTACTCTAAAGACAGAATTGTATGTTGACAGAGAGAAATAAAACCGTCCTTTCTGGGGGATGGTGATGTCCACTTCTATGACAGAGAAATAACTGAGGGATGAACTGAGACACTAGTGAAGCTTCCAGACCTTTGAAATACATGGGTATGCTTCAGTTTGGCATTTGGCTTGGACAGGAGGCTGACGGGGAAGGTATTTGGGCTGTCTGCTTCTGCTGGCAGAGAACCACTCTGCTAAACATCCAAACCAGTAATTGATAAAAGCCTACACAGAAAGGGAACGGAATGGACTGGCCATTTCCATTTCCTACCAGTGGTTAGCTCACTGCTTTGTTAATCCCTTACATGCACCAAGGCAACTGCCACTGACCAGGGTGGTATGCAGAGTGGGCAGGACTCGCCCCCCTCCCTTCCCCTCAACATTTCAGCTAGAGAACTGTAAATCCTCAGGAAACTTTCACTTTGACTTCTCTCTGATCAAGGACGATATCCAAATCCTCTTTAGAGCACAATATTAAGAGTTTGTGACTTTACTCTGTGCCAGCTGCATTTTCTAAAAGGGTGGATCCCCATCAAAGGGGGAAATAAGTAAAAGCAGGGGTGAAACAAAAACCCCATGCCCCAGTTGTTGTCTTCCATCTAAAACAGGCGATACTTATGAAATACCTCTGACTCTTGTTGGGGTCATAATAGACTTTAGCCAATCCATTTCCAGTTCCCACCATGATCTGGTTCAGTTTTGGATGCCACAGGCAGCGGACGACGCTCTGAAAGGACAAGATACAGCAGTGATCTAAAGAGGCCAAATAAACATGGGGAAAGCCCTGGCTGTACGCTGAGGGCTGGTTTATCACACAGGACACTGTCCCGATGGCCACCTGTGCACGTGGGGCCTTTGCTTCTAAACCTTCAGGTCAGATTCCTGAGATCACCACTTACTACCTATGTGATACCCTGTGAAATAAAAAAAAAAGATTATTTCCTGCCTGACGTCTTTCCTTTCCTGACAGCCTTGTAATCACAAAGTTCGGCTTTCCCAGCTCCACTGCCATGTGAGGCTGGCATCTTGGAATGCCGAACCCACATAATTCAGTCCTGCTTACCACTGAAACAGATTTAGATCTTAGTGCTTCATGCTCTTACACACACAATATGTCCCTCTGGACAGCAGATTGAGGCCAGGTGGTTACTGTTTTTAGTTCACAAAGATCCAAATCTCATAAAGCTTTTTCAGGAACAATACATATTTACAGGCACTGAATCGTATCTCCCTATCTATGAAATAAACCAGCAGGGCAACAGCAGAAGTAAAGCAGAGATACAGAATACAACGACTTGACATTAACCTGAATGAAAAGCTGTTTAAGAGAAGGTTCACTGGAAGTTACCATCCTCTGAATTCATTACTGATGAGGAAGTGGTGCTCTGGAGTCAGAGAGAATCACGAGTTCTCTGTAAGAATTACAACCTGCTTTTAATTTTTGTCTGCAGCAAGAGGGCAGAGGTGTGAGGGACAGCAGTGATAGAATAAAGGGGGGGGGGAGTTGATGCTTAAGTTGGTAGGCAGAACACTGTGTGCTGGGTTGTGCAGAACTCAATGATAAAATAAGAAATGAGTGGAAGCATCAATGTAACGTTTATTAAGAATCTATCCCATAGCAACTGAGGCCCAAAGAAGGAAGTTGTAACTAGGTATCGCCACTTTATAGCTAAAAGCACAATGAAAATCATGGAATTTCTGTCCCCCAAATCTACTCTGGGTTGAATTTCTTTGGTTACTTCTCCCTAATGGTCCCATTTTTTAGGTAAGACAGAATACTTGGGAATTTGGGATAGCTTTTGATAGAAATTTTGGCTCACACCTGACTGGCAAAAAATTATGCATTATAGTTAAATGGCTACACATCTTTCTCCGAGACCCTGAGAAATGAAGGTGGAAAAATAAGAGTCTGAGGAGCTTCTCATTCTTGCCTGATAAATTCTAGATGAGAGCTTCTTAAACTTCGTACCACTTGAAAGGGTTAAGATGATCTACCGGGAAAAAAATCAAATGAGGATGACTGTTTTCCCATCCATGTGGAAAATTAATTTAAAATGCAATTTTACATTTTCTTTTTACTATCTTTCTTAGCTCTATCACCCCTATGTTTCAATGTCTGCTTGTATGTGCTTAAAAATGAGAAAATGTATACAGTAGTGAGTGGATATTAAAAGAAAACTTGAAAATAGTAAATCATTTACAGTTGGGATGGGAGGGGGTGTTGTTTTGCACATATGTTCCTAGAACATCTCTCAATGCAAGCGTAGAAAAGCCACATTTTCTCCTAATAAAACTGCCTGGTTGGTAAGATGGAATTAAGTACATCAGTAGTCCACGGTCTGCAAAGCCCAGCCTGATTTTCAGGTGCTCCACCACTGAGACTAATTTGAGAACCATGTCTAGACTACTGGAAATTTCCAGATGGCCATGGCCAGGTATAGGGAAACATGAGAAGAGTCATAAACATAACTTCATAAACCGCTACCTAGAATAAGTTCATGGGAGCCAGGACTTTTGCTTCAAGGTTTTGCTTCAGTGTCATAACTACCCTGGTGTCCTGTTTCAAACTGCATCCCCAAACTCCCCTTCCCACTTAACTTTTTATCTTTTTTTCATAGAGTATCACCTCTTAACAAAATGTGTAATTTGTTATTTCTGCTTATCACCTGCCTCTCCCACAAGAAAATGTGCTCTACATGGGCACGGATGTTGGTCCGATTTTGTCAGGCAATAGATTTCAAATATCTAAATTAGTGTCTGGTGCTCAATAAGCGTTTGTGAAGGAATGAATTGAGTCACAATTCACTGTTCAATGGACTGCTTTTCTAGATAGAGCTGAAGACAGCATTCAAGTTAAAATCATTACTACCAATGAGGAAATTTTGATTACTCCCAGATCATTATTACATCCTATTATCCTGCAAGTGTGGTAGGGCCAGCTCCTTCCTCATGTGGTCCTAAGAAAAGGGATCTGCATGGACTAGAGCATGAGAAGCTAGTGAGAGGGGCTTTCAGGGGCCTTTAGAAATCCGAGCCACCCACAAGTGGTTCCAGGGCAATATTAAGGCACAGCATTTCTCTTCCTTGGTTCTCTGAGGTCTGGCTAAGCAGTCTAAGATTACGAGTTCTCAAATATTTTTTTCAAGTAAGCAGGGTGCAGAATTGGAGAAGATCCACAACTTAGGCCTGGTGAATTCCAAGACACCCAGCCAAACGGGCAGTTTCCAGGGGCAGCAGGCTACTGTTACTCGCTCCCTGTCCACTGAGGGTGTCAATGTTAGAGTGGTGACTGCCTAGGCCAGCGGACCAACGTGTCTGCTTGCTTTCCAGGTTGTCCAAGCTGTGGGCACATTCCACTACTCCTGTCCTCTTCCTTTATCCTCAAGAGCTCCTAGATACACACACGGCTGCCTGGCATAAACTTTTATGGAGAAACGCACTTACCCTCCTTTTCACAAGGAAGCAGAGAGAAAGCAAGTAAGACCCCTGAACTAAACAGTCACCCCAGAGTTCCATCCACTGTGGAGATGAGTCACTCGATGCAGCCCCTGAGGGCTCGATGAGCAGTCTGACTGAGGCAAAGGCTACTTAAGGCTCTATTACTCTAAGACTGGTTATTAATCAACTACTGCAGGGATTCCAAAACATGGGATGATGAAACAGAATTCAAAGTCAAAGATGGGTGGGCCTTTTTTGTTTATTAATATTTATTGTGTGTGTTTAGCTAACCTTTGTAAACTTTGCAGCTAATGCGGCTCTACACTTTGTCCTGTCAAGGAAATGCATCTTATAGCAGAGAGCTGGCCACCTGCCAAACCAAACAATCCCTGAGACGGCAGCAGGGCTGGGGAGCAGCAGAGTTGCCATGCTGCTAACTTGTCAAACATACATACCGGCTTTACTTAACAACGGGACACGTGCCTGCTAGAAACCCAAAGAGCTATCACGAGACAGATGAGGTATCACTGCTTCGAGTGTACTCACACCATTTATCCAAAACTTCCTTCACCCTCTGTTTTTGAAGAGGTCTGTCTGTGACTGGTGGCCTGATATATCCAGACCTACTGAGCAAAGGATAAAGCGCACATCGGACTCAAAGGGCCAAGAAGAGCATTACGACAAGAGATTCTATGAGATCAAGGAGAGTCTTCATATTCATCAGAATCCAATAGCATAAAAGCACCGAGTGCAATGAGTTAGCTTCTGAAGTTAGTCTGTATGTCTTCATAGACCAATATGTCTGACTGGCAAAGTATTTTATTCTTCTACTAATCTCACCAAAACGGGTGGCTCTGTCAATGACTTTCCCTCATTGCCTAAGCTGAGCTCTATTTTACATAAATTTAGGTTTACTCTTTTAAACCAAAGACTATGTTTATTTTAGCAAAATTCTAATCTGGCAGTGCAGCCAACCACCATCTGCCCCAAGATGACTTAGCAGCAGCCATGAAGAGATGATAGCCAGGGCTGGATGACAAGCAAGATGACAAGGAGTTACAAGACTTTAATTTGCTCAAGAGAGATTATTCTTCTCATAAGGGCATGAGTTGGGGAAAAAAGAAAGCGCTGTGTACAAACAACAGTTTCAAGATTCCAAAATGAGAATTCTGGAATAACCCATTAGCAAACGGAAAAAGACAACAATTCCACACCATTTATTTCTGAGGGTGGTTGTTGTTGCTGAAGTGAAATCGTGGAAGTAAATAAGGACAGCCGGAAGAAATGAATAGAAATGAAAAAAATAAAAAAGGAAATGAATAGAAATGAATTTAAATGTCAGAACATGGTGAAAAGGGAATTGTTGCCTACCTGGATCTTTATATTGTCCAACTTATAAATATAATAATCTCACCCCCACTTCACAGAAGAAGAAAGTGAGGCTATCAGGAGACAGGTAACCTTTCTAGAATTGCGTAATTTGTATACAGAGGAGCTAGGATCAGAAGAATGGATATGGGAGACCTTAAATCATTTCCAAACCCACCTAACTCAGAAGAAATCTTAGCAAGCTTGTATTAAAAAGCAGATGGTATTACTAAAACCAGGAAGGAAAAAGTCCACTACTAACCCAGTTCACAAATGTTGCTATAAAAGAAATCAATGCCTGTGCAACATCTTAGGGGTCTGTAATGCATATATTCAAACACCACCCTTATTCTACTTTACATGCTAAAAGAAGCCCAACATCCTTCATAATTTTATATCTTAAACATGATTATGATGAAATACTATTTCCTGATCCTTCCCAGCTGCTGACCCACACTGTAAATCAAAACTCCATCTGGTTTTTTCATGTTTGGTTTTTGTCATATAATACATGAGTAGATAAGCCAACTTGGGCTTCCTTAGGAGAACAAGCATTTTCAAAATTTTCAAATAAGGAGCTTTACACCTGTGTGTGAAGAAGACTGTCACACAGTTTTGCGCTCTTCTATGGCAGCAGCCTAGGAGTCATGGACACCCTCAGGACTGTCCAGCACATTTGAATGGCCCTGTATGTGCTGATCTCTACAGCTAACTACACAGATCAAGATCTGAACCTAAAACAAAGAAAAAGATGGCAGATGAAAATGGCAAGGTACAGGATAAAGAAATTCCTCAGAGTCCCACAAACCCAGATTTTATTTCACAGAACAGAAAAACTGCTTTAGATGTTAAAATATCAAGACAGGGACATAACAGAATAAAGTGGGAATTCTCTAAGGCTGTGGCCACTTTTTGTCCTGT